TCATAAAATACTACCTTCTCTATTTTCTTCTTTCCTGAACTCCTTTTTTCCCCAAAAAGAAAAACACTTCTTGTTTTCCACAAAACTGAAATAAACTTCCAATTTTTCATAGTGCTTAAAATGTTAAATAACAATAATTTCTAGGTAAGGGTTATTAATTTGTAATTATAATTTTTCAAAATAGCAATCCAGTTTACTGTCACTCAAACGAATCATTTCTGCCTACTTGTTAAGGAACTGAAGACAGATATGAGTAAAATGTACTGCCCAAAGACAAAATCAAGTTGAAGGTCTCTGAAATATTTTTTGTCTTTTGAGTCTAAATTTTAACCTAAAAGTCCTAAAACAGTTACTTTCTTCCAGATACTTAACCTCTACCCACAAGTTTACTGATCCCTAGAGCCCAATTTCGATTAATAGTTTGCATAAATAATTGAAATTTAAATCAAGGAAGGTATCCTAATGTTCTAGATACAAATCTAGTCTGTAAGCCCTAGGGGCAGGGGTCTTGTAGGAGACATTGCTCAGATGTAATGAACTCACCACACAGTCCTCAAACCTTCCTAATGGCTTATTTTGATTGTACTAGCCAAAAATTTGTCTAAACAGTCCTATAGCATTTACACTTTAACCTTTACAACTTCTTAGAATAACACTATGTTTATTTACTAGAGTCACATGCTAAAAATTATTATAATTCCTTTTGTCTAGAAATGACCTTATCTTTTATCTTAAAACTAAAAAGAGGAATTCATTGCTTTTGAGATTTGGCTATAAAATGTGTATGTATCCATCCTACTCAGTAGCCCTCATTATTTTATAGATTTTGAATCGCCAGAAACAACTTGTAATACTCGCTCACAACAGACTGAGTCAACGAAATAAGGAAAATAAAAATCTAATCTCAAGAGGTGTGACATAATAGCAAATAAGTTATAGTTGCTACTCTGGAGCACAGAATACAATGCTGTTATCTGGGAAACTGCATCTAAAGAATTTGGGGCTTTATTAGGAAATCCTTGGGTATAAAAGTGATTTTCAAATATGCCACACTTCTTGCTCTTTTGTTCCACATCATCAAAAAGTGTTCTGGTAAATTTGTAACTGGCTGAGATTTCAGTTCATTAGTGATATCCATGGACAAATAAATGCCTGACATTTTCTCTTTGTGTCCATTTCCCTTTCATGTCCCATAATCTCTCTCTCCCCCAACCCACCCTTTCTCTCTGCTCTGTGTGTTTTGTTTCCACATCTGTGTTTTGCTCCTTGTGTGCAAGACAGAGAAAAAGAGTTTGCTTCCTCTGTGTCTGTAGGGTGGTGGACACACTTTACAGTCAAATCTCAAAATAGGAGAAGTAGGAAATTCTTCTTTTGAGTTTTCTGGATGGATACCTGACCGTCTGAGTGTTTACCTATGTGCCTGTGTATTATCTGTGTATCTCTCAATATGTATTTCTATGTTTAGCTAATTCTCACTATAAGGTCCGATCTTTTCATAAGAAGAGAATGATGTTGAATCAGAAAGAGCTTTTCTTGGGGTTCAGATAAAAAGACAATGCCAGCCTCTGTTTCTTCAATTGTTAAATAGATTGGGAGTGCTGGCTTCTATTCTTTCTCTTCCTACTAAAGCTCTGCCAACACTTCACTTTCAATGTTGTTAAGTTAGGGAATAATGAAACCTTCAAAGTGACAAACCTGATCCATCTGTGAGAATCCTGAAGGGAGTTTTCTATTAGTCTCAATTAAACAATTTCTCACGATAAATTATTCTATTTCTCCTCCAAATCATATAGAAATGACAACTGCAGGATATTCCTCCATGAATGTATAGACAATTTAATACCACAGTTCTCAATTTCTGAGGTTCTTCCTATAAAAAGGTACTGAGAAGTTTCAGTATGTATTGCATACACCTGTATATATACTTACTACAAATATCTAACACATTTCAAACAGGTCAGGGTCTTTGAGCAGTGGTATTCAAAGTTACCCATCAGCAATTAGAGGTGGCATGCCAGAACAGATAAATTTTCATTTGCACTTAGTTTTCTCCAGGAAAGAAACATTTAACCAATGAAACAATTATGAACATGAAATGTAAAAATGATAAAATATTACTTTGAGTGGTAGATATAAAATGGAGGCAACAGAAACAGACATTTCTAAGCCACCTAAGGTAAAGCTTCATTTCATAATATATCTACAATTTGTAAAAATTCAAAAAACTATCTCACAGTTTCACAGCCTATATAAGAAGCTTCAACCAAAGTTGCTTCGTTAATAACTTTAGTCAAGGGATTCTCATGCTCTTTCTCCTTATCAAGCAGAGCAGTCGTAAGCCCGAAGCTTTGATTTTTTAAGGCCTTCTCTGAAAAGTCCTCTCTTAGACCAAACTGCGTGGAATTGAAATAACCCAAGAGGATGAGAAAGCTGAAATATGACATATACTTAACTGATTCCAATAACCCTTACATTTCTCCCAAACTGTTTTAAGTGTAGCATCCTCTTGTATTACAGGTTTAGTATAATATTAATACAAGAAGGTAATGTATAAGTATAAAAATTCCCTACCATTATGAATTTATATAACTCAAAAATATTACAGGTATTTAAAAGAATACTAAGCCAGACCCTATAGGCTATTTTTTCCAACCCAAATACAACACAACTGCTTTAGATTTGTATTGTTTCAGGCATTGGCCAAAATCAAGAAATAAAGTTTAAAACCTCAAATTAGAAACAAATACCAAGTCAGATATTTAGGGGAAATACTTTGAGACACTTAAATACAGTTAGTCTCAAAATGAGGGGAAATGTTTGCAAGCATAGTCTTTAAAGAGATTCTAATCTAAGAACTCATATAATCGAATCTACCACTTAGGTAAGGATCGTTTATTTAATCATTTGTTATCACTTTAGTGTGCCTCTGTCTTTCTGTGTGCCTCCAGCTAGGCAGGGGACTCTTAAGAAGATGGGATGTGTATTAATTAGTTTCTCAATCCCAAGTAACCACAAAGTGTCTGTGGCATAAGGCACCCAAATAAATATTGTTTCATTGAATGAATAAACAAGGCACTATGGAACTGCATAGAGTATTTCCATTGCTTTGTTCCAAGCTCTACTCTACTCCATATACAGAAATGTCTTTCTCATTATTCTCCAGGCAAGAGATCTCAAAATAACAGCCTCTGAAGGAAAAACTTTAACAGATATTCAACATATCTTACTTATGAAGTTTAAAATTATACAAAAGAATTAAAAACAAGTAGAAAATGTAGATTTCAGTAAGATGCAAAGTTAATAAGGCCTTAAAATGTGGAAATGTATAATCATTCCCATCCTGAATATCTTGTAGGAAAGGAATGTATACATGGATGGTATTTTAAAGACACATTAAGGCAAGAAAACATTAACGTCAGAAGCAAGGTAAGATGGCATCTTTTTGAATTTTTTTCTAATTGCATTAAAAGCACAACAGCTACTGCTTCGCTTCTATGTTTCTAGTGTTTAAGTCAAACGAAATATATAGACTAAAACACAATGAAAAACATAGCAAGAAGAAAATTTAAACACCAATTTGTCCATAGTAATGGCCTTCCCACTGAACTCTTTCCTAGGTTCAACCCCAACTACTCTCCCCAGCACAAAGCACCTTTTCCCACGCCCCTGAGGGCCAAAAGCCTTTCCAGAGATTTAAATCTTCTTAAGTAGCCACTTTCGCAGCCATTCCCAACTTGAGGGAAACCTTTTCACTGAGATTAACTCAGAATTTGATCAGTCCCTGCTGCCCACTTTGGGAAAAAATGTGGGAGAAGGAAGAACAAGAAAAATAAAAGCAAAACAACTCTATGCTCCAGATGTACCTACTACACCCTATCCAACCCCTTTCTTTCCTCCAGTTCTGGGCTCTGGACAGGTGGGAGGGGGTGAGTCAGGATGCAACTAACTTTCCTCCACCACCTCATTGCTACCCCCACCCCCAAATCCAGCCCAACTGGTAACTGAAACCACCAGGTAAGGCTGCGTGCATCCCCCTCCCCCCTTGGGAGAGGCGTGGGATGGGGAGGACGGGGGGCGCGTGTGGGCGGGATGGAGGTGGGGGTGTTCTGAACTACAACTCTCCTTACCACTGGAGCGCCTGACGATGTTCTCCAAAAATGTGTTCTGCGGTGCCACCAGCCCTCTCTTGCCCCCCGGCATCCTGGGTGTAGAGAGCAGCGGCCAGGATCCGCGGCGGGGGAGGGGGGGATGCAGGAAGAGAAGGTAGAGGAAGAAGAGGAAAAGGTGGAAGAGAAGATTGAGCCGAAAGAAGAGGGGGCGCGGCGGCGGCGACGGGGTCCCCTGACTGTGTCTCCAGCCCGACCCGGATGAGCAGCTCTGGGGAGGAGGACCAGGCAGTTCATGGTAGTAGCGCTCCCCCGGCCGCCGCTGCCCAGACTGTGGCGATGCCGCACACGGGGCTCGGGAACTGCAGGCTCCGCGGGGCACAGTGCGCCTGCGCCGCCCCCGCTGTCGCTGTCCCGCCGGTGCTGATGCTGAGGCTGCTACCGCGGCGGCCGGCGGCCGGGCGCGGGCTCCGCATCTCTCCCCCTGCCCCGCGCCCCGGGGTCGGGGGAGCGCAAGAGCGAACTCAAGCCCCCACTCCCCCAGGAACCCGTCAGCTCACACTGAGACCCCTTTCCTTTCCCGCGCCTTCGTCTCCGGGTCTCCTCGCCCACCCCCTCGCACAGCGAGCTCCCCGCCTCCCAGCGCAGCCCAACTTCTGCTGGGCTGTGCGCCTGGTGGTTGCTCGTCTCCCCGGAGATCGAGGCGAGCGCTCGCGGTCCAATCGGGCCGGTGGAGTAGGAGAGGCGGGTGCCCGAGAGAGCGGTGGCCAGCCTGAGGCTCACATCTCAGCGTCTCCCGCTCGGGTCCGGGGCCGGGCTGCTGGCGCGGACGCGGCTCCTGGGGCGGAGGTGCAGACAAGCTCGCGCTCCAGCAGAGGCTGAGAGCCCGGCAGGGACTGACTGGGCGGCGCGCGGGGACGCAGAGCAGCCACCTGACGCTGCTACCGCCCCCCTCCGGGCTCCGGCGCCCGAAACCTTCCTGAACACTGGCGCTTTCCGCACCGCCCCACCCCACCCCCGGAGCGGGAGAGCGAGCTCGGGAGTCCGAGCGCTCGGCAGGCTCCCGGAACGGCCTCAGCGACCCGGACCCGGCTGGGCGAGTTGGGGGAGCGGGCGGCCGCCTAGGGGAGCTTCCTTCAGGGCCGCTGAGCGCAGGAGGGGAGCCGCGAGCCCGCCACCGCTGCAAAGTTCTGGGGAAGGTTGCACTTGATGCGGAGGGTAGGGGGAGAGAGTGAATAATTCCCACCCGAGAGACGGGGAGTGAGGCGGGCAGCGTTAGCGATGGAGAAACGGTAAAGGCTGCGGGGGGGAAGATGCGCCAGGGTGAGGCAGGGCAGGAATCGCCTCTAACAACGCCCCCTCCCCGCCAAATCCCAGGCGTTGAGAATGGACAGGAGTGGAACCGTTACAAACAGTCCAAAAGCCTGAATGGGCCACGGAGAAGGGAAAATGGCATAAGTGCGAAGGGGGCAAAGAGAGATGAAAAGGAAAGAGGAGCCCACGCCGAGGCACCTCCTTTGATCTAAGGCAGTGGTTTTCAAAGTGGCCCGGAGTGGCAGCATCCGCATCTGCACCGCCTAAGAACTTGTTTAAAATGCAAATTATTGGAGTCTACCCCAGAGTTCGGGAACCAGGAACTCTAAGGATTGGGTTGACCTATTGGTTTTAAAAAGCCCTCCAGGTAAATACGAGAAGTGTAAGGCGCCCTCTCTTCTCCAGGGACTGCACCTGGGCCTGCCAAGAAAGGACGATTGTGTAAACAGGGTCAAAGAGCGGGGACCAGAAGTGCACCGCCCCGGAGTCAGCGGTTAGTGGTGGAGCGAAGTCTTGAGTGTTGAAGGCGAAAGGATAGTTGGATGGGTGCGTCCCCTTTTGCTGGGGTCACAACGTGCCAGAGAAAAGGTAACTAGGTTAGAAATTATCAGATTACCAGAAGCAGGGGGAATCCCCAGGCAGGGGTGCGAGTACTACACATCTCAGCACCTGTCCTTTTTTGGAACCCTCTAGATTACCAATCACTGACCTCAAAACTGACCTCAAGACAAGACCTAACACTCTCTCGCTGCCTGTTTCTTCCTCCTCGCCCTTTCTCCTCTCCTTTTTCTTCTCTCTTCTCTCTCTCTCCTCTCTTCTCTCTCTTTCCCTCTCTGAAATTTGCAGAGCCCAGGCAGCTGAGCAAACCCAGAAGGTTGACACAAGGCAATTTTATTCCGCTAAAAATCTTTATGCAAAAAGACCAAGAGACTCCGTGGAATAACACTAGGCTATTCTAGCTTTCCACAGGAAGCACTGCTGGTCATGGAGCTGATCCCCTTACAGTTAAAATGTCTGTTAAATATATCAGGTGTGTTTAGTTCAATAACAAACGACTCAGGTGCAGACTGGATCTGTAGTGAGCTTGCCACAGCAGCACTCAGAGACATGGCCAGGTTACAACTCTCTCCCTGCCGTTGGTAGGAAAAACTGAAACCGCCATTACCACAGCGGCCTTAAACATATAATTGAATTTCCCACTCTATCGAGTCTTTATGACCTGTGTTCAAATGATCCTAATCAGCTATTCATTGGCTGGGCTGGTGAATAGGCAGGCTTATTTTTTAAGCATGTATAATTCATTGCTATTCTAGACTTCCAGCATGCTATAATAATTCCATCATCATCATTAACAGAGAGTATTTCAAATCTATATGTCCTTTTGCATATCATCAGCTGCCCACATCTCACCTATGGGTATTGATTTCAAATCTCAACTTCTCAGCATTTCCCATCTAGTATATATATATCCTTGTTCCTAATCATACCTCTGTGGGTGTATTAGCTCACATTTCCCAAACAGAAAATTCTTTTGGACTCCATTAAGACACAGTCACAAAATTACTAGTAGAACTTCCTTATTTCCATCTGCAGATTCGATTAAAATGACATTCATCCTTTCTTGTTTCTAACTCCATAGCATTATAACATTTAGATTATTTTAATGATCATAAAAATGTGGCAGTTAAGAAGTGTCAAAAGGTTGCATACTTTTCTTAATCTTCTAGTTTAAGTTTTCGTTTTATAAAGAAGAAATCAAGACCCCCAAAAAATGAAGTTTCCTGTCCCAGATGACACAGTGCTTTAGAACACTCTGCACTGAGACTAGAATCAGGTCTCCTGACCCTGTAGCCAGAGCTCCTTGTAAATAATAGAAAATAACCTAATCTTAGGCTACTGTGGTAACAACAGTCAACATCAAGGATCTCTATTACCATCACTGATTTTGCAGCCCATGAGAATAGAAACCCTTGGCAACTGTTGAGAACTGATTGGGAACTTGCAACTGTTCAGAAGAAAGAGACAGGAATTAGAAAGCTTCAATGTCACACAAAGAAAGAGCTTCGTTTTATTGCCAAAATTCCACTTCAAAACAGAATCATTTGTTCTTTTCTTCTGTCCTTCCAGGTATGGTAATTAGAGAGACCTTGTCTGGGATCACCAAGAATTCCAATTTCCAGAAGTGTCCACTGACTCCTAAGTCACAGCAGAATGAAAGCTGGCTGAATGAACTGCAGGTGTGTTCCAGTCAAACCAAAACCAATATAAACATGAGGCTTAGAAAATTGATGGTGGAAGTGATGATTTGGATTTACTACTGGTTCATGAAGGACTCTTTTATCAAATACCCATCCTCTGAAGATTTTTAAAATATAGTTTACTTAACAGTAGTGTAATTATATGTAAATTTTCAAAAATGCATTAGAAATAGGTTCAGTTTGACACTTACTCTAATCCCTTATGTGCAAATGATCCAACCACTACTTTCTCGGGAAATTTTTCTCCTAATTCCTACTTTCTGTTTCTGAGCAAACCCTAGTACAGATCCAAGTTACAATCTGTAGATGCTAAATGGGTGGCTGTGATGGAGGGATGGGAAGAAGGAAAAAAGAAAGGGGCAAAAATGATTCCCTATCATGGCCTCCAGGGTTGGCCTCACTAGAGCAGTATCACTCCATTCCATTTTTTCCTCCCCAAGCCTCGCTACGTGCCTTTCCCCAAAGCCCTAACCCAGCTCTAGCAGTGAAGCATACAAACATTACTAAATTCCTATTTACACCTATATTTTCTACCTTTTCTCCTTTCTGCTGGATCTAAATTGAGAGAAAGCAAACTAGAGACTCAATGGCTGGACTCTGGACCCAGACTACCTGGAATTTAATCTTGCCTCCCTCACTTACTAGCTATATGACCCAGGCCAGGTTATTTAACCACAACTTCCCTTGCTGTAAAATGGGGATAATCATTACTTATTTAATAGTGCTGATACGGAGATTAAGTTAGTTACTATTCGAAAGCCACTGCAGACAATATCTGACAGGTAATAAGCACTATGTAAGTGTTTGAAAGTAAATACATAAGCCTTTTTCTCCCCTTCTACTTCCATTTAGTGAAGGCTCTAGAAAGTAATCACTACTGAGGTTCACCAATATCCAGTGGCCATTTCCTGCTTCTTGAAATTAGTGTGGCTATAAACCAATGCTTGTTAGTGAAATAGGAATGAAGGGAAAGGGTGTTACTTCCAGGTGAGCATCTAAGAACCAGGACTTATTTTCTCATCCTCCTCTTCCTCTGCCTCAGTGACTAGGGAATGCCAACGAATACAAGGAGAATACCTCCCCAGAAGTTACCTAGACCTGCAGTAGACATTACATAAGCAGGAAATAAACCTTCGTTGTGTTAAGACACTGACAATCCAGCACTATTTGTTACTGTGCCATAACCTAGTCTATCTATCCTGGCTGGTACAGGTTATTAACTTGCTTTGGGAACCAGAGATTAGAAGAAGAAGAATTCTCCATCCTGACTGCACGTTACAATCAGCTGGAGACTTTATAAGAGTCCCAAAGCCACAGCCCAGACCAAGTAAATCAAAATTTCCTAGGATGAGACACAGACATTACTATTTATTTTAAGTTAAAGTTCCCCAGGTGATTTCTTTCTTTCTTTTTTTTTTTTTTTTTTTACACTATATCGCCCAGGCTGGAATGCAGTGACACGATGATCTCAGCTCACTGCAACCTCCACCTCCCAGATTCAAGTGATTCTTCTGTCTCAGCATCCCAAATAGCTGGGATTATAGGCCTGTTGCACCATGCTCAGCTAATTTTTGTAATTTATTTTTTAGTAGAGACAGGGTTTCATCATGTTTGCCAGGGTGGTCTCAATCTCTTGACCTCATGATCCGCCTGCCTCGGCCTCCCAAAGTGCTGGGATTACAGGCATGAGCCACAGCACCCAGCCATGATTATCTATATGTATCAAGGTTTAGAACCACTAACGTAGAGCAAGGCTGCATCCTATGGGAATCTCTGGTGCTTCAATACTGTAGCAAAATCCTCAGCTCCAAAGGATCACACTTTGGTTTCACCTGTCCCACAAAGGCTCTAGTATATGCAACTGTGAGTTTCTGTGTACTTGTATCTGCTGAGCAGCCCAGAAGAGAACCACAAAACCTCTAAGACTAATGCAACATACATTGAAGGCCTCCAGACTCAACCTGACTTTCTCAGTGCAGACTAATCCTTCTGTACATCCCTGATCAGCTGTGTCTTCCATTATCTGCTATAGTTTTTTAATCTTGTCTCTTTTCACACCTCAGTTGTCACTTTCTCACCTCCCAGTCTCAGAAGATGACTTGTAGAAAACAGGTCATGCTGTCAATTCTTACACTTCCTGCCACTGCTCTCTCTTCCTTTTCTTCTTTCTTCCAAACAAATAGAAAGCAATTTCTCTCACCATCACTCCATCACTGATCTGGATCCTATTCATATGGGCCTCTGGGGAGACCTCACTTTACTGACTGTCCCCTCACTTCTCACTTGGACATTTAACATGTTTTAAAAATGATTTCTTAACTTGCGATTTCCCTCAAGCTTTGGCTGGGTCTCTCCCATCACTTCATGATCAATCTTCTGAGGAGTCTGTGCTAGGTGTCTCCACTTTCTTGCCTCCTCTTCACTCCTTAACCCCCAAAACTGGCCTCCTTTCAACTGCTTTCCTGAAATTGCCTCCCCAAAAGTAATTTTTAAATTGCCAAATCCGGTGAGACAATTTCATTGTCAATTTACTTTACCTGCCTATGATATTTGAGACTGTTACTAATCCTTTCTTCTTGAAACATTCTCCTACCTTGGACTGACTGGTTTTGAATACTGATGCCATGATCTCAGCATTTTCATTAACCTATCTGCACCTCGGGGGTTTTTTTCTGTAAAAAAAAAAAAATTAATCATGCCTACCTCATATGGTTGATGTAAGAATTAAATGAGATACTACAGGTGGACAATCTTGCATCTAGTTTTCTGAAATAGAAAACTCTGATATCATAATGGGTTTTTTTCATACATTTTTCACAAACTCATTTGCCAGAAAAACCTGACCTGGACTGTTAGAAGGCCGCTTGTACTCTTGGGCCTATCTGCTGTGGTTATTGAGCATGTTTAGCTGCATAGATATTCATGTGTTTGAAAACAGAGACTGCTGTCCCTAATCCCAGTGAGAGAGATGCAAATACATAGAAACCCACAAATATCTGAATTCCAAAACACAGACCTTTTTCCTGCAGCTATGTACACCCATACCCATGGACTGACTGGCAATTCCACGAGAATCTCTAACATATTTAAAACAAATGAATCATCTTGCAATCTGCCCAAACCCTCTCCTCCTCCATTGTTGCTTATCTCAGAAGCTACTTCTATCCACTCAGTTATCCAAGTTAGCAACATCAACACTTCTCTACCCCTATTCCATACCCAGTCCTCTTCATTCAACCTCCCAGATACCTCTTTAAACTATCCAGCTCTCACTCCCTCCGTTGGCACTGCTCCAGGTCAGGCTCCATCGTTTTTTACTTGGATTTCCACATCAGCCTTCCGACTGGTCTCCCTGCTTCCTGCGTTTTCTGACCATACATACTCCTCTCTATCTCCTTCTCCAAGCTCCACCCCAATTCTTTTTTGAGACGGAGTTGCGCTCTTGTTACCCAGGCTGGAGTGCAATGGCGTGATCTCCGCTCACCGCAACCTCTGCCTCCTGGGTTCAGGCAATTCTCCTGCCTCAGCCTCCTGAGTAGCTGGGATTACAGGCATGCACCACCATGCCCAGCTAATTTTTTGTATTTTTAGTAGAGACGGGGTTTCACCATGTTGACCAGGATGGTCTCCATCTCTTGACCTCGTGATCCACCCGCCTCGGCTGGGATTACGGGTGTGAGCCACCTCGCCCGGCCCTCCCAATTCATTTTTTCCCACTTTAGCGCTATGGCCAAAGTGATCTTTCTTATGCATAAATCTGTTATGTCATTTCCCCGTGTAAACACTTCTAAGTTTCTCTTTGCCCCCAGGTGAAAGCTCAAAGCCCTTACCTGGCCTTTTTATATCCTTCCTTATCTGATTCTGCTTATCTACCCAGGATCAACTCTCATCATTCCCTATTCCAACCCTCCACCTTCATACTTCCTCACCCCCTGCATCCCTTTGTATTCCTTGTGCTTACCATGCTGTCTCTGTCTTCCCCCACCAACGTCCTGCATCACTAGCCACCTTCCTTAGATCCTATAGAGTTGTCATTGCCTCCAAGACGGCTTCTTTGACTCTCCACAACCTGGTAAACAGCCCTCCCTGTGAGTTCTTCCAATACCACGCTATCCTTCCTCTATTACAACGTTGCACCTCACTCTGCATCTCAACGTTGGTAAGACAACAACAATAATAATAACAATAATAAAAAGACAAGATTGCAAATACGGTTGAAATCTTATGTGTCTTTTCACCAGAACTGCCACTAGTGCTTTTGATGTCTTCATGAGAATTAGGAAAAGAAGTCCCTCTGGCCAGCCGTGGGGCCAAGTCACAGCACACCAGCTCATGAGATATTTGTGGGCTGGATTTCAGCTTCTATTTGTTCCCTTAATAGGTGTTCTTGGTGGGAAGAAGGAGGGGGGCTCTCTAGGTGAAAAAGCTAGAAAAAAAGGAAATCATAATGATAGGAAAGTTTGCAATATGTGACAAACAGTAGACAATTTGAATCTTTTTTTTTTTTGAGACAGAGTCTCCCTCTGTTGCTGGGCCGAAGCGCAGTAGCATGATCTCCGCTCACGGCAACCTCCTCCTCCCGGGTTCAAGTGATTCTCCTGCCTCAGCCTCCTGAGTAGATGGGACTACAGGCATGCACCACCACACCCAGCTAATTTTTGTATTTTTAGTAGAGATGGGGTTTCACCATGTTGGCCAAGATGGTCTTGATCTCTTGACCTCATAATCCGCCCACCTTGGCCTCCCAGAGTACTGGGATTACAGGTGTGAGCCACCGCTCCCAGCCAAAAATTTGAATCTTTAAGTGGAAGATAGAATTGGAGGCACACTTAGGGGCTCATCAGACCAACTTAAAGGGTTTGGACTTTATTCTGTAGGCAATGAAAGACATATTTTGAGTAAAGATATGAGATGGTATTTGAGGAGAAGAAGTCAGTTTGTGATTGGTATACAAGATGCTTTGGGGAGAGAAAGGTCCAGGATTGGAAAAACTACTTGAGAGACCCCTGTAAACAAGAAGTTGACATTTTTGAAATATTAAGTTATTCCCCAACCCCCAAGTTTACTGTCACCCTCTTGCTTTCATTGTATCATCATTCCTCACCATAGCTTACCTCTTCCTGGCTTTTTAATTTTTCAAAAGTCTAAGCATTAAAACAGAAATGCAATAAGAAAAGTGTTGTAATAAAGGCTCTTTTCATTCTTACCCAGTGTTAGTCATTGTTCTAAATACTTTACATGACTGTGCTCAATCTCATTTAATTTTAATACAGCAAAATTGAACTTAATTCAATTCAACAAATATGTATTATGCATCTATATACCAGGCACCATAGTAGGTGGTTACATTATCCCCATTGAACCAAAAACAAAATTGAGGAACAGAGAAGTTCAGTAACTGGCACAAGGTCACAAAGGTGTTATGTGACGGAGTCAGGATTATGTCCTCAGCTGCTCTGTCTTCAAAGCCCAAACGCTTAGCCATCTATTTAACCAGTGCACTACACCGTCACCCAAAAGATTTGGAAAATATCTGAGAACCAGCTGTCTCATATGCTCCACATCCACCCTAAATGACAAAAAATCCCCCTGTGCTAAGGGAAGGAAGACAAGTTGGAGAGGAAGTCAAGAATAAGGAGGACCTTCTCCTGCCACAATGCAGGAGAGCCGTGGAGCTCCAAGGAAAATAACAAAAACATCAGAGGTAAATTTGGAAAACACACAAATATTTAAACAACAGCAGCATCATGAAAAATAAAAATTTTAGGAAATATTCTTCTAATATTCAAAACCTATCAAATGATTCATAATTACAATTAGGTAAGACAGAGAAACTTCAAGTGATCTCGGCGTACCACAACGTGACTATAGCTAATGATGATATGTTGTATTCTTAAAAAAATGTAGAGTGGATGTTAAGTGCTCTTAATACAGAAATGACAACTATGTGAGGCAATGCGCTTGTTAATTAGCTGCATTTAATCATCCCCCAATGTATGCATACTTCAAAACACGTTGCGCACAACAAAACCATACAATGTTATCCATCATTTTTAAAAAGATATTTTAACTATCTAATTTAACAAAGAAGTCACATCATTGACAAATGTATACACTGTTAGAATATATCTTTGGTGTTTCGTTTTCATCATTACGATAAAGGAAAATACCAACCAATGTTCCTGTTGGAACTACCTCATCATCAATTGTAACCATAGGTTGGCTACAGATGCAAGAGTTATAAGTGAAAGTATTCTGTGAGAATGAGTAGGCCACATGGAATTTGCAAAAAGAGAGATGAATATTTTACTAGTATTTGAAAATGATGTGCTACATATCCTTCTATCAGTAGAATTTACAATAAATTTAAATATGTATATATGTATACATGTGTATGTATACATGTGTGAACATGTGTACATATATATACATGCATGCATGTTTTTCTCTTGAGAGCCGCCTGTTAAACCTCTACCCTCACACCACTATGCAATTTGCCACTTCAAAGTTTAGCAATCCCAATACAAAAAGAAAATTCTCTCTCCCTAGCATCCAAATGTCAGTCCAGAGGAATCCCTTGATTTGCCCCACCAGTATCACACATCTACATGCCAGTACCTGCACCAAGAGTGGGTGCGGAGGGACTGTAGTACTGTAAGTGACCAAGCCTAGGCATGCACTCTATCCTGGCTGCCGAGCAATGCAGTGTGTGATAGTCTCACTGGCTATGGAGACAGGCACAGTTCTCCAAAAGGAGTCGTTTGGCTTAGCAACAAAAACAATAGACACCCATTATAGTTGGTCCTCAATAAGTGGTAGGCACTATGATCTCTAACTTGTTAATCTCTAGAAAGAACATTAGCAACAATGTATTTACTTCGTAGTACATCTGACATTTTAAGATTTAAAAATCCCCAACTCATTTAAATGTTCTCCTTTCTCCAAGGCCTCTATAGAATTCTAACCATTAGCTGTTCATGTATTCATTCTTTCTCTTAATTAACACTTCCTAAGTTCCTAATCTCTTCAAGGAACTGGACTAGGTGCTGTGGATTCACTTCAGTTTACTCTAAATTTGATAAGTGGCAATCTAGCCTGATCACAAGCCCATCTGTTGTGTCGTAAACTTCCTGTCCCGAATATACTACCACTTCTTCAAGAAACAGCTTATGCTACCTCAGCTTCAGTAGACTAATTGAATCAAACATGTTCAAAGAAGCAAACTCTAAGAATAAATCCCCAAATGTCAACGCTGTCTAGGAGGAATGAAGAAACATATGGGATCCCAGGCATTCTTCAAATTATGCATCTCAAAGTGTTGGAGGGGGCTGGGCTCCAACAGCAGTTTCATGCCTTCCAGAAAAGTTGTATGGTCATGCAGTTCTCATTGTATCCTTGAAAACAAATAAATAGGGCATTTAAACAGTCACTGCAAGTAAGATTCCTATCACAAAGGGACATTCTGTTGCATTCTATTTGTAGTATAAAGAACTGTTACATACAGCTTTAAAATTGGTCAAAAAAAAAATCCTCTATTGTAAGAGCATCCTCTGCATGTGAAAGTAATGAACGCTGTTCACCCTGTATACCATCTTTGGAGAAATTAGGTCAGCATCTTCTCTGGATATGACTATAGGGTTCTTCGAAATGGCATGCATCTCACTTCCAAAAGTGGACAAATGGCTCTTATGCTAGAAAGAAATAGATCAAAGGATGGTTCAGATGTGTAAACCAGAAGCAGTTAAAAAAGAGTTTTGATTTAAAGGATATGTATGGGCCAAAAAGAAAACAGAAACTTAAGAAGTGAAAAGAGTCAGCTCAGCTCACATCAAGAGAGAAAGCATAGTCTAAAATAGTCCAGAGGACTCTAAGAGCACAGGCCAGAACCTGCATCATTGGCAGGTGGGATGGGGGAAAGAAACTAGGAACAGAGGAATGGAGCTAGCAGTTGGGAGGCTTGAGTGCCAGTTCTATGCCAGGCTCTGCTTTAGGTACTGGTCAAAGGCAATCGCAGAGACTCACAACTTCTCAAGACAGGTATTTACCACCACATTACAGATGAGAAAACCAAGACTCAAAGAAGTTCATAATTTGCCCAAGGCCACACAGCCAATAAGTGGCAAAACCAGAGTTCAAATTCAGGGCTATTTAGCTCTAAAGCCCTCTTCCCATAGGCCAGCCCCAGTGAAACAGGACAGCAAGCATCCAAATCCCAACATCCAAAGAATAGTGGTAAACTTGATTACAACATCAGCTGTCACACCCAGGGGTGGACCATGGCAGAAAGCTTAGAAGATAACAATATTTTTGGTCAGGTGGGTGGAACAGGCAGGAAAGGATGGAAGGGTAAGCAGAGGAGGACAATCTGATTAGAGGCAACATCCTAGCCAATGGCTAGGGATGGAATCAAGAACAAATCAGGCTTCAGAAAGAGGGGCTGGTATGGCTGTATTCACAAGACCACAAGTCCTAGCCTCCAACTTAAGTTCAAACCCAAACTAGGGGCAGAATCCCCATCATATGGAACAGGCGCTCATAGAAGTTGAGATGTGAGAGAAAGGGGCAGGGTGTTGGGATGAAAATTACACTTCAATAAATTGTAAGCCCCTTAGTAACTCACCAGAGTAACTGGACCTTAGGCTTAAGGCAAGACCACACCTGATAGGGACATACTTCCTTAGGTCTGAAGATGCCTCAGCCCCTGAGTGAGTTAAGTCTGCAGGTGTAAAGGTCCTCAGCACTGGTATCCAAGCATGGCTGTGCAAGAAAACCACAGAAACAACAAAATCATCAGATTATTTGTTGAGAACCTACTCTGTGCCTGGTTCTGTGCTGCAGCCCAGGAATACATCACTGAATAAGACAGACACAGCCCTGCCCTCGTGGAGCCTACCTTCTAGTAGAGGAGACAGACAATGAACAAGAAACCAACAAATGAGTAAAATATATGCAAGTCAAAAAAGTTCTAAGAAAGGAAAAAACAAGAGGCAAAAATCAAAGAAAAAAGTAAGTGAGGAGGCGGGTACATGCCGGTGATCCTTGAACATCATGGATTTGAACTACGGGGGTCCACTTGTACACAGATTTGTTTTAATAGACACATTAAAAATGTTTTGAAGATTCACATTTGAAAAAAACTCTCAAATGAACCATATAGCCTAGAAATATCAAAAACATAAGAAAAGTTATATGTGTCATAAATGCATAAAATAGATAGAGATGCTAGCCTATTTTATCATTTACCACCATAAAATATACATAAATCTACTATAAGAAGTTAAAGTTTATCAAAACTTATGCACACAAACACTTAGATGCCTTACGTGGTGCCATTTACAGTCAAGAGAAATGTAAACAAATGTAAAGATGCAGTATTAAATCATAACTGCATAAAATCAACTGTGTGCATACCCTACAAGTATAATCATCTCATGGCCACCCCGGTGCTATTTAAAATGCCATGTGACGCTATCATCTCCACATAAGCAGTTTCTCTCTCCAGTAAATTGCAGATCTCAGTGAAAAGCAGCCTCTCGGTTCTCACATACTTTTCATCATGTTTGATTTAATACTGTAAACCTTGATAACAAGGGGACTCACACAAAGTGCTACTAGTGATGCTGGAAGTGCTCCATTAAGCAGAGAAAGGTCATGAAAAAGTTGAATTGCTTGATACGTACTGTAGATTGAGGTCTGCTGTGATTACCCTCCATTTCAGATAGCCATTCCTCTTGTAAACAGATGGCTTAAACTATGGCATTGATAAATACAGTACAGTAGTGTCGGTGTATTTCTTCTTACCTTATGATTTTTTAATCACGTTTTCTTTTCTCTAGTGTAAAAATATAATATATAATGCATACAACATGCAAAATATGTGTTATCTGTGTGGCTTCCAGTCAACAGTAGTAATGGGTGGCTTCCAGCTACCCATTAGTAGAGGCTAGGCTAAATAGCCTCTACTCATAGGCTAAATATTGCACATTCCTGAAATGAAATCTAGTTCAGCCACCTTGGAATTGCTACTATAAATCTACATTTATTTTATTTTCTATTATGAAAAGATATGTACAATATATTATGCAGGAAGAAAAAGCATATTATAAAAAACAACATATGCTATGTAAATCATGCCACTTTTTGTTAGAGAGAATTTGATAACCCTATTGATATGGTCCCCAAATATGCTCCCCTTAGGCGTATTTT